GAAAATAAAATGGAAACTACTATAGTATGTTGGGGTTCTATTGGGATAGTGCAAAATGAAATGCAAACTACTATAGTATATTGGGGGTTCTATTGGGATAATGGAAAATAAAATGCAAACTACTATAGTATATTGGGGTTCTATTGGGATAATGGAAAATAAAATGGAAACTACTATAGTATGTTGGGGTTCTATTGGGGTAATGCAAAACAAAATGCAAACTACTATAGTATGTTGGGGTTCTATTGAGATAATGGAAAATGAGCTGCAAACTACTATTTAGGGTTTAGGGTTTTGGTTTAGGGTTTTTTCTAAGGGCCACCGAGTCGCATGAAGACCTGCCGTTCCACCCAATAGGCTCCACACAAGAAAAGAACAACTTTCAACTTTAACTCTAACCCTAAACCCTAAACCCTGGGTATCAGTATATTCACATATTCCTCTATATAATATCCTCACTATAACTCTAAGGGATTTGGAACCACAGTAGACATCATAATTTCAGCTAAATATTAGGATTGTTGGTAACAGAACTGAATAGTTATTTTCAGGAACCTTGTAGTTAACCCTAAACCCTCTATCTACCCTAAATAGGGACCATCTACTTGTACCCCTGTTTAAAGGGCACAAGGGGTTTATGACAGCCGCCAGATCCCTAAACACGCCGTCCTTGAAGCAAATGGGATCCAGGCTGGCGTTAGCCCAGACCACCCACTTGCCAGCCTCTGCACCTTACGCAACAATGGGTTCGGGTTTAGGGTTTGGGGTCTAGGCCTTAGGGTTAGGGGCATAGGGTGGATCATACACAGAGCTGAGCCGTTCCGCTCAGCGCAAGTTCTGGCCGAGCATGCGCGATTTGTGCATGCTGTTTCTCGGCTGTGGGCTACTGCAATACAAGCTTGATTGCGCCGGGCAAAGGTTCTCCCACTTTATTCTGGACGAGTGAGACGATGAAGGTTTAGGCGGTACATGTCATGGTAAGGTGGCAGGCAGCTGACAGGAAAAGCCTGGCACTTTAAAGTACTTGCTGATGCTGGGGAGAGAGTGAGGGAGAGAATGAAGGTACAGTGATGGGTGTATCACACACCCCTAAAGCCTCAATTGGTATTGGGAACGTCACGGGAATCCACTCCAAAAATTTCTTGTAAGCATCAGCATTCCCACATCAACATGGACTGCAGAGACTGCAATTCTGCCTTCGCAAAAACTTGGCGCCCCCACGCTTGGCTGGAGTGTCCAGGCCGCCATACTTGTCCTCATGGTCGCAGGTTTTATCATCTATCTTAAATACTAATGCGTGCTTGCTATGATTGATCTGATATACCCCTACTAAGATTCCCTTTCTTACCCCTACTATAGTCGTCAAATTGCCGTAAAATAATCCACATAGAGCCCCCCCAGAGTTGCAGGGATTCCTGCTGAGGAATCTTACTCTCCCTATGACCTACGTAGGCAGATGTGTTTGAGGTGCTCAAACTCTGAGCAGCGCTGTTCTCATCGTGGCCATCGCACAAACATACAACTACTATAGTATATTGGGGTTATATTGGTATAATGGAAGATGGAAACCACGTTTAGTAATTGGGTTTTTATTGGGATTATGGAAAAGAAGCTGGAAACCACTTTAGTATATTGGGTTTATATTGGGATAAGGGAAAATAAAGTGGGAAAACAATTACAATATGTATAGATAGGAGGTCTTGCTTGAGCGGCGTCAGCGCGTGCCCTACCAGCCTAAAACGAGTGCGGACGTGGAGATTGATGATATGTTGCCCCTTGAGGAATGGATTGAAGGACGTCAAGTGCATAAATGGTTTCTGTGACAGGAAGCATGTCCATGGCGGATGTCGCTTCAAAGGTTTTGGATCTTATTTGAGAGGGGTTGTGCCTTGCAGCTCTAGCTAAGCTGTGGCGAGTATTCAGCTGCAGCATGCCTATGTGCAAGCTTTGCAAACTCACACCTTTCATACGTACACACGGACACGCCTACCCTAAACCCTAAACCCTAAACCCTAAGCCCTATGCCCTAAGCCCTACACCCTAAACCCGAAGCCCTAGACCTTTATTGGAGTATTGCAAAATGCCGATTTCTGAGACCAGGCTCTGCCAGGTACATGAGGATGGCCCCAGACTCGAAGACCTGAACTTGCAGCTGCTTCAAAGTGATACTTGGTATGGTTTAGGGTTTAGGGTTTAGGGTTTAGGGTTTAGGGCTGATACTTGGTATGGATTAGGAGGACCCCCACCCTGTATATTTAATAGTGGTATAATAAGAGTATAAGAGGACCCTAATATGATCCCTATTATCCCTTATAGTCACTATTACTGGGTGGGGGCTCCACCTAGGGTATGGAAATGGTGGGTGGTACGTCTGCTGAGCATTCTTAATAAGTAGTTTGGCCTAATTACCCTTTTCAAACACGGCTTTTTTGTGTAAGTCACGAAAGCGTTGCCAAACCACTACGCCTCAAAACGTGTAATGCTGCAGTTGCATTGCTGAAGGTCAGGCCGGGATTGTTATGGGACATTCATGTGAGTTATAGTCTAAACTCCTGAAAAGGGGGGGGTTATATAAGGGATTATAAAGGGGACTGCCATCGGGGTTATTAAGGGGGATACTAGGAGTTTAGACTATAACCCTTATAATCCCCCTACATAAACCCAGTTTCCATTTCATTTTCCATTTTCTTTTCCATTTGATTCTCCATTATTACCATTAATATTATAGTATTTGGGCCCTGATACCCCATTATTTGGGTCCTTGGACCCTTAGGGTTTATGTGAGCCTGCGACGAGAGTCGTTGACCTGCGTCATGGGGTCGACCGGTTGCCTTTTACACTCCGTAACCTAATTCAAAATCCTTCTTCTTAGGAGCTCTGCTAGCAGTGTAGGCAAGCGCGAAATTTGCCAGCCCCGTTGGGGGGTTGTCACAACGGCACTTAATTTTCTGCAGCTCTGGAAGCAGGAGACATATCTTCAACAACACTGCGGCAGTGAGGTCACGTCACTACGCTCCATGTGCCAATCAGAATGCGATGTCTAAGACGTGGCAGCATTGAAAAGCTAGGCATTTGCCAGAAACCCTAACCCTGAACGCCAAAACCTAAACCCCTACGATCTGAGTAATTTGAGGAACTGCGGGCGGAGATCTTCCAGGGCAAGTGTCATCCTATGCCCTGTCCCTTTTGGCACGATTAATGGCACAAACTCCAGCGTCAGCCAATGTAATGCTCAGCAAAGCAGTCACTAAGCATTAGGTGCTAGGAGCACGCTATGCACTACCCCAGGCCCCTCCCCTTCTACCAACATGCTTCATGACTCAGGCCTTTGCAGGACGCCTAGCACAATGGTCTTGGTGGTGTCAGACGATGTTCGCGTGACAGCTGCGCGGAGACTAGTACTTGCTATTCCAGATGCTAGTATTCCTGTAAGTACCATGGCCAGAGCACTTTGTGATTCTGCACCTGCCATTGCTGCACCTCCTGCCCAAACCCTTAAAACCCTTGCTACCTTGATACTAAGGTGCGCATCACTGCACTCCCCCTCCTCTTCATACTGATGTAGGGGTTCCTGGAATCCCCCTTCTTGGCCCTACCCAGCTAGAGGCTAAACTTATCCCCCTTTTATTCATAACCCCTACCAGGCCCCTACCACATTCCCAAATATTATCCCCTATATGGTAGTTTCCCAAGATTAGGGTACCCCAATATAGACCCCAATATACCCTAGTTCTTATTATGGGAACCCCTACCCTAAACCCTAAACCCCGTTTGGGAAACTCCCATATAGCCCCCCATTTTACTATAGCTCCTATCTTTGCAGCATGCCACCTTCACGTCGCCATCCAGCAAGGCAGGGATCTTTCCTTGAACTTCGGGGGGAAGAGCTTCTCTGGGCTGCTGTTAAGGAACTTAAATGAAGTTACCAGAAAATATGTATACATATGTATAGAGAATAAGTTATTAACAGGGTTTCTTGAAGTTACCAGAAAATTGGTATATATATATATAGATGTATAGAGAATAAGTTATTAGCAGGGTTTAATTAGTAAAGTAACTTCATTTAAGTGGCTGAACAGCCACCCAGTATTGCAAGGTCTCCGTGCTGGGGATTGTTGCAAGGGATTCTATGATTTTCACTCAGGAAGATGTTTACATGAATCACCTAATTATCAGAAAATGTCACGCTTCTCTCATGTTCTTGGCTGAAGAAGCCTTTCAGTGTCGGATTGCTGGATTGGCCCTGCCTGGATGCTGACCTCTCCATCAAAGGGGTTATATTGGGGACTATATAGGGCTCAAAAAGATATATTACAGGGCTTATGAAGGGGGATACTGGAGCTTAGCTCATGTGGTCCCAAAGCAATCTCTGTAAGCAGCCGTGAACAAACTTCTGAACATAACCTGAGGGCCAAGGATCTTTGGCATGTCTTGGCAAAATGATTTCCTTGCATCAGTGCCCATCAGGAGGGAATCCTAAGGAAAAGTTCCAGGTTCTTACTTTCAGCCCCCCAATCCTTGTGGTTCCGGTATCCGAATGAACTAGGAGAAGCATTACATTGTTACTCAAATATTGGAGCTAAACCCTAAGCCCTCATCACCCAGAACGGTGGGAGGACCCTCCACCTTGTGATAGTGGTACAATAGGAATATGATAGGACCCCAATAGAATCCTGATTATGCCTGATAATCACTATTACAGGGTAACGGATCCACCTAACCTATACTTAGCTTCTCATTTCACGGTTTGGAAATTGGCTGAAACGTGTTGTTGCATGCGATAGATGTAACAATTTGAGCCTTTGCTGCTCAAAAAGACTTATTCGGCATCAGTAGGGAATGAGGGAATATAATGCCTATATTATAACCTCCATATGATGTAGTCCCTACTCTCTACCAACCCCCAGCAAGAAAAACATGTTCCTGCAGTCGAACGCCCTCAATCCCGCGCCAATTTCCATCCCGGAGGCCAAAGGGATGCGGATAATCGGGTGAGGTGCGATCCACCTGACGTCCCGTGGTCTGGAATCACTATTATTGCTATTATCAATCTTATTACTGTTATTATGGTCTGGATTTTCAGAAAGACTTGCATGGCCTTCGCGTGGAAAATCCAAATTCTATAAGATGAAGCCCCCTTTTTTGCACTCAGGGGCCTATAATCATGGCAAGAATATCATTAGCAATAGCAATATTACTAATCCTGCTAATACTAGTACAATACTAATATTGATAGTAATTTGGAACTCTCACACTTGAAGACTACACTGCCCGAAAGAAGGCTTGCAAACAGGAACCGTTAGAGACCTGAGATCATATAGCACAATTAGATTGGTGGGCATGGTCTTCTCCAGCAAAGTTTGAGAATAAATGATATGTGGGCCCTGCAATCAGTCTTCCGTAAATTGGGCTGTATGACACACGCTGCCTGGCTTTCTCCTTTCAATAAACTCTGCGGTTTCAGAAATCAGGCAAGACATTTTTCATCTGGAGCAGGAGTTCCCTCTAGGACTGCAAGTACCTCTCAAAAATTAGGTGCGAATCTCCCCACCTTGTAAACTCCTGATGGATTCTTGTATGTATTCCTCTTGAGCACTGGTATTAGCCACTTCCCAGCCTGCTGCGCTCCGGCTAGGCTAAGGAGGTTAAAATCCACTATGTCAGTTTTTTTTGGACGCCCATGCATTTTTTTTTTTTGCGTTGTGCAGGCCACGGAAAGGATCTTAATTACTCGCTTCCTCCGAAAAAAAACGAATGTCTCCCCCCGGAGTCTTTAATGAAATCCCGCCAGTATATGTAAAATCAAGGTTGTCTTTAAACTCCCACGCCCCCTCAATAGCCTCAGCGCCCCGTAGCTCCCATTGAAACCCTTTTCAACCAAATGGAATGTTCCCGAGTATTTCTTACTGGGTGAATTTTCTAATAGGGGGAATCGACTACTTTCCTCACAAAGCCTGTGGCTGTTTTCGAGCTTGTCCTCATAGTATCGGGACAGGCAGAGGAAATCCTACACCGGAGTCCTACAACCCTTTGCCCCGCAACACGATGAATGCTCAGCCCCATTTCAAATCCGAAGCCCTAAACCCTAAAGGCCTGTGCGGCTTGGACCATCTGGAACTCTTGACCTCCAGGCTCTTAGTTAAATAGCTCGACCGATTTCTGACTGATGTGGTTAGTTGGCCACTACAACTACTCAGCTTCCAGTAGAACATTCTTTCACACCAGGCATGTGCTCCCTGAAGTTCGGAATCACAAGGAATGCCGCAATTTCTAGTCACACAAAGCCTAGATGAGGGGCTGAAAGGGAGCAATGCAATATCTCTCCACAGCGCAGCTTGCTGACGGAACCTCTACTTGCCCGTTTCTACGCCTCGAAATTTGATGGCTCTTGGGAGGGGCCCAAAAAGGGACACCACAAACACAACACCCTTCATTCATGTGATTCCAACAGTTACTAAATCCTTACAGATTCTTGTAGAACCCTGCCAGAAAGTTAAGGATCGCACAGTCATAGTTAGAATGCTTGGCAACAATAATCTTGCGAAGCGCTGCCAACGAAACTCAAATCCCAACATCCCGTACATTCACGGAGGTTTAGTTTGCCTATACTGTGTTGCGGGACCGCCGAAACTGAAGGTATTTCAGATATATAAACAGCAAATGGAGGCTGCTAGACCCAAATCGTACACACCAAAGCCTTGCATGCCTCAGCCCTAAAGCCTGAACCCCATCTTTGCCTATTTCGTGCAGGTACCAGTTCCTTGGACCAGTTGGAAGCCACGATTCACGTGAGGTATAGTCTAAACTCCTAGTATACTGCCTAATAAGGCCCATAGGAGTTTAGACTATGGGTCACGCGTGGTTTGCGCTTGTGAGGTTTCCAGATCTGAGGCGTTCGCTTCTGGGTATTCGTCTTGGGTGGCGTATCTGGATCGCTGATCGTAATGAAAAAGTTCTCGGGCATCATGCTAAATGTAGACGTGACGTTCCTTAAATGGTAGAACTGCAACATGAAACTTACTACTACAAGGTGGGGTGAGGCTCAAAGATGCGATATGGAAGTCGCAGAACCCCCTTCCATTCCACTGAGAAGTTTGACCCATTTTCTGCTGCAGCGTAGGCTGGGAAAACTATGACAACGCGCAAGATTTTCGACCTCCGTGGGAGTTTATTTGTGCACTGCCTGTGGACTGCTTGTGATTTGTGACGCTGAACACTTTGTTGCCATTGTAGTTTTCTTTTCCATTATCCAAAATAAACCTTAGTAGTTTCCATTTTTTCCATTATCCCTATATTATCCCCAATCTTTACCCTATATAACCCCCATATTGGGCCGGTAAAACCACCTTCTTAGTGGGACTTTGTCCGTGCACTATGTGTGGACTGTTTGTGGTTGGCGACACTGAACAGTTTGACCCCTTTCGCGTTGCAGTCTGGGCCGGGAACACCGCGACAAAGCGCACTCTTGTCTGCAATACCTGGTTGCGCATGTCCACGTTTTCTTGCAATAGCATATACCATGATCTTATCAAAGGCTCAGAACAACAATCGCAAGCCTTAAACCCCAAGCCCTAAACCTTGAACCCTAAGCCGCAAAAAGTTCATGCCCTTGAAAACCACGCCCAGGCTCACCAGCGGGGATCGGCTCCCCTGGCTGCCGAAGAGAATTGGCCTCAGGATGGCTTTCAGGTTTCCGGTTTGAGGTTTAGGGTTTGAGGGGTTTAGGGCTTACGGTTTAGGACTTAAGGTTGTATCCGCTGCAGGGTTTAGGGTCTAAACGCTTTAGGTAAACGTTGGCCTCCGGATGATTGAAAGGTTTAGGGTTTAGGAGGCTTGAAATTGTGTAGGGCTTACCCTAAGTAAAACCCTAAACCTGGAACAGTCCGCTGATTTGGCTGCGACTACACACTTTGCTGCTATCGGTGCTGCTACCATCACTATGCCTGCAATACATCCCACGAGGGGTGTTGCAGCTTGCTTAGCAGTCAGAAGAAGACGAGCTGCTTGTCTTCTTCTGGCTGCTGGTACCAAAGTGTGCTTTTCTGAAGCTGTCCTTGCCATATGCTGCACAAATGTCAGTTTTTGTGGTGTTTTAGCGACGGTATGACGTCATGAGCTGCCGGGTTAACACGTTGAAAGTCAATGCTGCAGTGCGTAGCCGGCACGTACATTAGACAAAGACTGTCGTGAGTCTTTTTTTTGCGCTGTAAAATACTAGCCGTTGATGCGACTGCCTACAGTCCGCAGTACACCAGGATTGTTTTGCATTGCTTTGTTAGGAAATGTAAGCCTGCCCTGCCAGATGCGTGCCATGGATTTTTGTAGGGAACTGATCACTCTGAACCTTAGCTTTGCCTACAGTACCTGCAAATCCGCAGTTGGCATCATCCCTGCATTAAGGTGATCCTGGCAATTTGTTGAAAACTCAGGAAGTTCTGATAGCCTAACTCCCCAACACAAACACGGAACCTACCAATGATCGGAGAATATCAATTTCAAGAATGATTGTTCAGCAGCCATGCTCGACAACCAGGATCTCCCTGTTATCGTTGGCAGGGCGTTTGCCCGAATTGCGTTTTTTGCTTCAAACGCATCGTGGGCTGGCAGCCAAAGTCTTTTCGGGAATTGAACCTAATCGGCCAAGACGTTTTGGCTATGAGTCATCCGCCCCATTTGTCGCGGCCTCTTTGCGCCCAGCCGTGCCATTTCGATGTACAAGGAACTCCACCCCTAAACCCTAAACCCTAAACCCCTCATCGACCTCCTTACACAAGGACTCGCCACGTTGGCGAGTCATCGGGACTCAACCCGACCCATCGGCCAAGTGGCCCATCAATCTCAAACTCTGGTAAACCGTTTAACCGGTTTTGGACGCATCCATGCGTGCTTCACTCCTCACGGATTACCTTCTTGGCCTACATCTTGCGGAACTGGGGCAACCAACGCACTTGACCCTGTCCTGCGTCCTTGCTGTGGTTCATGCGGGCCTGTCTGCATTCGTGGGGAGGAACCCAGTTCTTCCACGAGTCTTCCTTCGTGGCCGGCTTCACGGCAAGCTCGGGGTGATTCGCAAGGACTTGCAGGCAGGTTGCGAGGCTTTCGATACCATCAAACACATTAGGAGAATACCTATAATTTTTGTCTACCACGCCTTTGCGTACACATGGTGGCGTAAAAGCGAAGGAACTACTACCACTACAGCGAAAGCAGCCCAAAACAATGACTGCGCATGCAATTTCGAGAATTTCATCATGCCTCAACACCGCATGGTGCACGTAGGACGTGCAAAACGCATTGTAAGGAAATTCTATCTTTAGATGCAATTACCCCGGAATTAGCTAACAATGCCTCTCATCAATAAGGAAAAATATGCCTTGGCCTTGAACGTGCCTGAACCCTAAACATTCTTCCTAATTTCCAAACTCCCTATAGTCCGGATAGCCTTCCTAAATTAGCCTTGGACTGAAATTGTATTATATCCTCGTACTAAGTCCTTTGGCCTCTGTCTCACCTCAACAAATACCCCGTTCTATCATCCAGTGGCAGCATTAATGGGTGTAGTGGATGTGTTGTGTATGGGGTATACTGGACAATATACCGGGTAGAACGGATATGATGCATCTCATCTTGGCCAAGTTCATGCAGTGCGATGCGCCATCTCGCGCCACACTGTTGCATTCGCGTCGCCCGCGCGGATGGGTTCGAGTAATAGGAACCAGCAATTGCGAACGCAATCCTGCCCTTTTGTGGGTAGTTACTAATCATGGATCCCTGATACACATATCCTCATCGTGCAATGACAAGCAAAATATGGATCTTCATGCTGGGTCTCTTACACGGCGAGACTTACTCAGACAGAGATCTACAGCATTTTCTCTAAAGCGTGACTTACAGAAAACGGCCTAATCCCTACACCAAAACCCTAGACCCCACGAAATACTCAGAAAAACGACCTAAACCCTACACCAAAACCTTAAACCCAACGAAATTCACTGCCTACACCAAAACCTTAAGCCCAACGAAATTAACTGCCAGGATGCCCAGCATTTCGGGCCACCGGTCGGCTTCGACGTTTTCCAAAGGCTGCCTCACAGGATCTTTTGAACCCTTTAAGGTCTAAGTCTTCCTGTTCCGGTTAACTGGGTTTAGGGTTTAGGGTTTAGGGGGGATTGCTGTGAAGGAGTTTAAATAAGTTGCTATAGTAAGGAAACCTTACTATCTATGCTATACACCCATTTTATCATATTATAGTAACTGAACTCTCAAATTCCTTAACAGCAACATATTTAAGTCTGTGTCTAGCTTTTGGTTCAGCCCTGCAAGCGAAGACCCTCCAAGCACCCTTCCTGATGCCAGTCACAAGAAGTCCTGCTTGAATAGTAGCAATCCAGGCTTTATGATAAGCCTCTAAACCCTAGTGTGAACCATGGTGTGCCTTGATACTGAACCACGACTGTTGGACATAAATACCCATTGGGTAATATTGGGGTTATACAGGGATAATGGAAAGTATAATGGAATCCTCTATTTAGGACTTAGGGGTTGCTCATAGAGTCGAGCCGTAACCCCTAAACCCTAAATAGTAGTTTCCATTACATTTTCCATTATCCCCGTATAAACCCGAGGAGAGGGCCATACATACATATAGCAGCTTGAAGGTTCCCACATGCGTTGACAGCTTTGGATTCTGGCAGCGATTGGAATGTCCGAATACGCCTTGCAGAGCATGTGACAGTTTGCACCATGACGTTCCAAGATTGTGGCATTCGCTTCGTACACTGGGTCCTGACGGAGCAGGAAGTCACAAATGCAAGATCATTTTTCCAAGCATCACCCGCCGCCCACGCCACGAAAAACCCTTCTGACGCGCACGTCAACTTGACACCTTTTCTTGCTGCCCTAGTCCAGACCCCTCATAAATAAACCCCCTCCCCTTAATAGGGATTATAATAGGGATCCTAACATGAAGGCCCTTCAAAGGAGGGGGTTTATTAATCATGGGTCTATATTACCTAGAAATTCAATGAGGATGCCTCGATGTTCTGATCACCTCCCTGCCTGTTCATGTCATCAGGATCCTGGTTCTTCTTGATCCGAAACTGTATATATATATATAGATATTTATATACATTTTATAGGGTTTAGGGTTTAGGGTTGAGCATAATCCCCATAATCCCTGTAGTTTCTATTTCATAGGGTTCAGGGTTCAGGCCATAGGGTTTAAGGCCTAGGCCTCGAGAAGCCAGCCGTAAACTCCTAAGCCCTCAAGCCCCACACCTTGAAGCCGACTCATTCTGTAAATGTGGAACCCTGAAGCCTAAACCCTAAGCCCTACGCCTGAAGCCCCAAACCGCGTCCATTCTTTCACAGCGTCATGCGCTTCTGCCGGGTGGAGACGCTTTCTGCAAAAACTGGCAGCATCTTTACACCCTCAACATCAAGGCGTTCTTGAAGGACTTGGGACATAGCCACGGTGTAGGGTTTAGGGTTTAGGGCTGCCGTTAAGAAGCTTCAATTATGATGCTATAATGAGACAACCGTATTATAGTTACTATATACCCATCATATGGCAACTTAATCGAAGCTTCGGAACAGCAACCCAGTAATGCCACATACATGAGCTATAGTCTAAACTCCTAGTATCCCCCTTAATAACCACTATAGCAATCCCCTATATACTATCTATACATCCCCCCTTTAAGGAGTTTAGACCATGGCTCACATGTTTTTCTGCTGGCCGGGACCTAAGCATAGGCTGCAATCTCAAGAACGCCGCCAAAGAAGATCTGTATGGCTCATAAGCCCAGCTCCATGAAGGATGCCAAACCATCCCCGTCCATTTTCCCAAAGGGTCCATGTAGAGATATAGTATATACTTAAGGCCCAAACGGGTTCCCATATCATTACTTAAGGGCTTATGTATATACCATATAGCTACATGGACCCTTTGGGTCTGTTCGGCAATAAAACAATCGCCATGGTCTCTGGGGTCTGCGCGTTTGGGGATCCCTTCAGCGGCCTGGGAAGATCCCCAGTACCGGACTGAATTTCGTGCAGATCTCTGGTGGATCTTTGCTATACATCACTAAACTGTCCGCATTTAGCATGCTCGGAATGTCTCAAAATTGTGGGCTCCAATGGGGGGGTGTTCAATCAGAACCATATTGCTGGGGGGGGAGATCTGGGAACCACCGTTCTGAGGACAACTCTCTTCATTCACCGTCACCCGTACATCATGTGCAACCTCGCACGCTCGGGCTGTAGAAGCTCGGCGGCAAGTCAGCTTGTCCTGAACGTACGCAACCAGCGTGTCCATGTACTCGAGACCTCTCTCTGGGGACACGCACAAAAACAGCCTCTAAGCTTAGGGCATCTAATCTATGCACCATAAGCCTGAGGGTCGAAGTACCCCAATAACCATATACTTACCTACAACCTGCACTATAATTACTGATACCAAATCACAGGTAACGGACTGGGTACTTGAACCCTTAGGGTGAGTATAACAATAAGGAGAGGCCAAGACCAGAATGGTCGCTTCTCAAATCAGGTGGTCCATTATTTGTATCCGCTGGAGGAAGACTATACTATTCTGGAAGTTTAGCAATCCCTATTTGAGCCCTGGACTAAACTCGTGGTATATCCCTTAATAGGTCCCCCCGAAAACCCTATATAGTCCTCTATAGGTCCTCCCCAACCCAAATTTACTTCGTAGCTCATATAAGCCCCAAAATATACCCTTCGCCGCTCATATAAGCCCCATATATACCCTTTACCATGGTACCTATCCCTAAACCCCTAAACCCTGAACCCTGAACCCTAAACCTTATACCCTCTACCATGGTACCTATCCCTAAACCCCTAAACCCTTTACCATTACCATGGTACCTATATTCACTCCCCCATTCCCCCACTTGGAAGTTTCGTATGGCATCTCTTGGAATCCCCAAAAAATGAACACCCCAAGAAGCAAATTTTACTGGTGCTTAAAAGAGTGGGGGAGTGGCTCCCCTATAACAATCCCCATACTAATAGGGGTTAGGGGTTTAGGGCTCGGGGTTTAGGGGTTTAGGGTTTAGGATTCAAGGTATAATCGGATTACATTATCATCCTTAAAAAAGCTCTCTATATACCCCTAAAATGGTACCTATATTCATACACCACTTACCCTATACCTTTCGTAGGAAGAAGCAAAGTCTGTACCGCTCGGCAGGCAAGGAACTCTGCATGTTCAACTCCCTCAAGACCTTCCTGGGCTGCTGTTCCGGGCCTTAATCAGAATGGTACCCTAGAAGCCCTCCTTAAGCCCCTATATAACTTAAAACCATCTGTAACCCAAGGACCTACGGTATGGGTAGCTGGACTTCTAGGGGTATATAAGGTTCAGGATATTACATCGCCGCTCCGACAGTTTCGAGCTACCGGCCTAAATTTGAGGGATTATGTGTTGGACGAGTCTTGCGGGAGGAGCGGAGGTCCTGAAAGAGTCATTTCCATTGGCCAGGCTAGCGGAGCAATTTTGTCTACGGTGTAAAAATATATGAGTCAGAATCTAAACTCCTAGTATCCCCCTTAATAACCCCTGTAACAGTCCCCCGTATGGTCCCATTTATAACAGCCCTTTAAGGAGTTGAGACTATGGCTCATATGACTTCTTAGTTCCGCAGGAGGCCTGGAGGCCCGTGTGGAGGAGTCTACCGGGGAAGAGGGGTATGTCGTGTTGCTTCTTGCATGAAATCTGGGCTGTGATCTTCGGGTGGGTCAAACTTTCGGCACCCCGCAGTAGGTAAGGTTTGGGATTAGGGTTTAGTTTAGGGTTACTATTTCAAGGAAACTCCATAATACTTACAATATACCCACATGATGGTAACCATTTTTCATGTCCTTAACTGCAACCCAGCTTCCGCTTCGCCCGAGGATCTGATTTCAGTACTTCGCAGAGGAAGTCTACTACCTTGGTTCTGTGTGTCCAAACTTAAGACCCAAACCCTAAACCCTACTAAACCCCGCAACCCTTAAACCCCAAACCCCTAAACCCTGGGTTTAAGGGTCTATACCTTAGAGTCGCTTCCTTAGTTCTGATAAAGCGGCGAAAGCCTAAACCCTGGGTCTAGGGCATATGCCCTGGTTCCGATAACTCCGATAAGAGTCGCATCTTTGCTGAGGTTGGGGAATGACGAAACCCTAAACACTAAACCAAAAAACACCCTAAACCCTAAATCCAAAACACTAAAGTTGAAGTCCCGGAAGCTGGAGGCTGCATGCCTCTGGCAACCCGTAGGCACCCTTGATTCCAGGGGTTTCCTAACATCAGGGGTACCTTTCTGGGGTCCCCATGAGGAGTATAGTGCTTGGGAGTCTATATTGGGGCCCTAAGCCCTAAACCCCATTTATTGAAACTACCATTTCTGGCTCTCTACAAATGCAGTCTTTCTTTGTGCGTGCTTTTGTGTCCCTGAATTCTAACTGTGGATGAAAAGTTGAGCTGGTAGGGCTCCAAGGTAGGGTTTAGGTTTAGGGTTTGGGGTTTAGGGATATTGTGGTTTAGTTTTTTTTCTTTAAGCGCTCCTTTTGGTCCGCTGCACGCAGTCAGATCAAAGGATGTTGGCCGAGCGGTTTACGGATCCTTCACACCTCCGACTTGAAGCTGGAGCTCTTTTCACACGCCTTTGGCATTTTGTTGACCCTTCCCACTGCCTTGGCCTGCCGAGTTCTTCAGTAGCAATTCACTAGCAAGAACTGCTTCCCATATGTCCTTGCCGTGCTGTGCTTGGATCTGACCCTGGGATATCTTGCCAGGAATCCAGTGCTCCCAAACTTGAACCCCTTCATTGCTCTCAAAGAAAGCTGCCAGAGCATCAGGAGCAGATGGTTGCTTTGGCCACACCAACGGCACATCATCCAGGGAGGTCTGAGCTGGTGGAGGCCACTGTACTGTTGTGGCATCTGACTGCACATTCTGCGCTCCAGCTTCCAACGGTTCGCCAGGGCTCACTGGTTTAGTGTTTAAGGTTTAGGAATGATGTGGTTTGGGGTTTAAGGTTTAGGGTAGAGGAAATGGTAGTTTCCTAAAATAGGGGGACCCCAATATAGAACCCCACTCATGTTTTGGGAAAATCTCAAGTCAATGCCGCAGCCCTAAGCCCTAAACCCTATATATCCACATATTATGATACCTTAGTATGAACTATAGTTTAAACTCCTGGCATCCACCTAATAACCCCTAAACTACTCCCGTATATAATCCCCCATATAACCTCTTTCAGGAGTTGAGACTACAGCTCATATATTCTGATACTTGAAGATACCCATATTATGAGACCTCAATATGCCCATATTATGATACCTTAATATACTTGTATTATGATACCTTAACATGTATATTCTGTAAGCAACCGGGAAGACAAGCTACGCTGCTCTGGCATAGTATACCCATATTTTGATCCCTTAGTATATGCACATTGTGATATCGTACTATAAGTTCCTTAACAGCAACCCGGAAGACAAGCTACGTTGATGTGGCAATGCTTCACAGCCATGTCCAGAGGTGAGTTGAAGTAACCAACCTGAACGGGTGCTCCGCTGCGTTTTGTACAAATAATTCAGGGTTTTAGGGCTTAGGGCTTTAAGGCTTAGATTGTTTAGGTTTAGGGTTTTAAGGCTTAGGGTTTTAAGGTTTAGGGCTTTAGGGCTTAGGGTTTCAAGATTTGGGGTGTAAGGTTTCACAGTTTAAGTTTAGGGTTTCAAGGTTTGAGGGGTTAGGGCTATTGATTGGAAGAATAGGGATCTCCCAGCAAAAGCAATTTAGCTGTAAACACCCGAAATCCCAAACCCAAACCCTAAACCCTAAACCCTAAACCCTAAACCCTAAACCCTAAAAACTTACACCCCACCTTCCCATGGGTGCTCATGCATAGGTCAGCCCCTTTCTCAAGCAGGAACGCAGCAATCTCCTGTCTTTCAAGGCTGGGGTTTAGGATTTAGAGTTTCAGGTTTGAGGTTTAGGGTCTAGGGGAGGTTCAGGGGTGTCGTTCTGGTCCTTATTCCTGCTATTGGTCCTTAATGTCGGGTTCTGATTATTAAACCCCCCCTCCCCCCCCCCCCCTAACAAAAAGTCGGGTTCCCCAGAACCCCACAGTCTAAAATCAACCTCAAAGACTACTTTTGAAAGCCAAGACTAAAGTTAATTGCGGCTCAGAACCTCTGAATTAGGGGGCGTTCCTAGCATGACTCCTACGGATTAGAGATCTCCTTGCTTACCTGGGTTTTGTTTATTTTTGACTGGTTGTTATTCAGGGTTAGATAAAATCTGAATGCGTTCTTCTTGGTTTGATTTCAATTTTACATCGTGTTTGATTAGATCCTTCTGGCGATATATAATTAGATTTCAATTGATTTTACTCAGATTCAAACTACATCTCTATTAGATTCTAATTAGGTTTTGAATGGGGTTTTAATTTACCGGATTGCGATTTCAAATTCATTGCTAAGCTGCTTTTCCTCTGGTTTGTTCACTGATTTCAACTGCTTTTTCGTTCGAGCTTACTTGATTTTATTCGATTTCCACTCGCTTTACGCAGCTTTCATTCGATGTAACCTATATCAAACCCATGCAGGGCTTCAGCTTGAAACTGCATGTAGGGAGCCCTTAGCCTGAGATGTTAGGGTTTGGGTTTTTAGGGTTTGGGGTTTCTTGTTCAGGGTTTAGGTTAGGATTTGGGGTTTAGGGAGACATCAGACATCTTGCGTGCCCTAGACATAAAGAGTCAGCAGTGAGACTATGGGATTAGGAAGTTGTCGGAATCTTTAAGTCTAGTCCCTAGCGCCTTAACCCTAAGCCCTATAAACCCTACACCCTAAATGCCCCATATGGAAGAGACATATTTCGGCGTCAGGCGACTTCTGCTCCGGGGTCAGGTGGCTACCATCAGGCCCGCGGAAACCTGAGATCTCGCGGAAGTTGGGTGTACTGATAGAGTCTAGGGTTTAGTGTTTAGGGTGCTTCACATATACGTTAATCCCCTGCAGACCGCTGCTGTACCCATTTCATTTGCTTCTTCCTGTAATAGTCTGAAAGGTTCGGGGCTGAGGAAGCCCAAGCAAGCTCATTACGGTACCGGCTGAACAAACTATTTCTACCTTCAAATTCACGAGCTCAAAACCTAAACCCTAAACCTATAACCCTAAACCCTAGACTCTAACTTACATGTTGTGGTTGATGGCCTTGAGATCCACAAATTTGCCACTGGAATACCTTTGGATGAGCTATAGTCTCAACTCCTAGTATCCCCCTTCATAAGCCCTAGAGTAGTCCCCTTTGCAATCCCCGAAGTAACATCTTTAGGGAGTTTAGACTATAGCTCTTATGAGAAGTATGTGATGTTAGGGGCTGGCTTGATGCTTTACCTTCGGGGCGAGGAATTTCGTTTGGTTTAGGGTTTGGGTTTAGGGTTTAGAGTTTAGGGTTTGTATGCCGGCCACTTTGCTAACTCCTGATTTGTCCTAATACCTAGATCTAGGTCCCGGACCCCCGGACATGGGGTTCCATTATAGACTCTATGACTGTATGGTTTAGGGATGTTTAGGGTTTAGGGCTTAGGGGGCTCTATGCCCAACATCATTCATGTTTCGGCAACCGTGACGTTGACAGTAGCTCTGTACTCTCACCTGATGAGCGATTTCGTGGAAACTCTAGACCATCTCGAGAAGCCCTTGACAAATCTGGCTATGTGCCACAGGTTCGGCGTTCGGTCCATTGTTAACCCAACCCTGAGTGCACAAGAAGTTCATATCAAATAGATTAACAAATGTTCTTGCTTGGGGGTTTAACAGATCGGGGTGCTTTATTGGGAGTCCCCATAACCAGGGCTGTAAGAATTTGGGGTACGTAAGGGTGACTTCCTGCATATTTGGGAACCCACGTGAAGTTCTCAGCCCTCTGACGAGCAATTGCACGAGGCTTCGAACACCACGACCAATGTGGACCTCTCCACTATAGCAGACATTGTGCCACGCAAATCGGAACAGGGCGGACTGCGAAATCTTCGGAGGACACTATCCAGGAAAATGACCACACGTCACGAGTCACCCGAAATGCTCCAATGGCCGCTCCCAAAAATTAGGGCACCCTCTTGGGGGTTGATCTTTACATTAGGGATAATGGCATGTTGGGGAGGGGGCATAGGGGCACCCTAATTTCTGGAAACTAGGAAATTTGCAGGACGAGTTGCCGACCTGACCCTGCAGCACCTGAAGCACGCCCAGGTTTAGAAAGTTCTTGCTCTGGCCCCTGCATTATCCTTGAACTGTCTCTCTCTCTCTCTCTGTCTCGCTCGCTCGCTCGCTCTCGCTCTCTCTCTCTCTCTCTCTCTCTATATGGTCACCCCCCCCTTCCCAAGAACTACCCAGAGCATGAAAGGTAGTTCTTGGGGGGGGGGGTGAGCATATATATACATCTGCGTGTATGTATGTTTGTGATGAATACGTACATGTGTATAGATGTACATGTATGTTTCTATCACCTGGAAAATAGAGATGCTACCCATCCCTCAACCAATACACCCAACCAAATAGAGTGCCAGTAAATATTGAAGAGGTATATTCATTATCAATGAGGGTTAGGTTTTTTGGGAGGGGGTGATTACCAAAAAGCTATACCTTCCGTACCTTACTGGGTTTGAGAAGCATGTACAGACTTCTTGAAAAACAAGTATTGGGATACGGGGGTTTAGTGTATGGGGGTTCCCCCCCACGTAGGGGCCCTTTTGGAGGGATCCCTGTACTCTAGATTCAGAATCATTATGTGCTGTTTCGTTTAGAGGGTACCCTAGTGTTTTCGCCTTTTCAAAGCCCAACATGAAGATTTTGTGGAAAAGCCATATCATATGTGACAATAGCTTGGGTATGGCAGATTATTCACATGTGGCCCGGATGTGGGATGCAGGTGTTACACGATGGTACGATGCGAGTGACTGACAACCTAATCGGCTATGCCACATTCCCTCTTTGCAATGGCATGACATTGTTGAGGTCATGTCCCCCCATGTGCGCAGCTCCCAAAAATTAGGGTCCCGTTTTGGTGCCCTATATATTAGGTGTCGTAATTCGAGCCATAGTCTAAACTCCTGCTATCCCCCTTAATATCCCCTATAGTAATCCCCTATATAACCCCCTTTAAGGAGTTTCGAATATAGCTCATAAAGTCTACAGCCAAACGGGCCCATAATCTGGGAACAACTCATGTGGCCACATTCGGGGTGTAGACATCAAAAGGTGAGGTTTCATGAAGCTGTCAAGCCAAGCTTGTGATCGATGAAGTCCACTACTACGCGCCTTATACTACCCCCCCATAGGTTCCCCTTCAATCAGCCTTCATTATCCCTAATTCTCCCTAGATAACCTCCCTAAACCCTGGACCCTAAACGAATTAAGGCGCAACCTGGGGGGATAGTAGGGAAACCCACGAGTCATGAGTAACCTTTGTATGTCCCATTTGAATCTGGTGCAATTTATGAGGCTCAAGCCGGCTGCGCATTCGAAGGGTCACTTGTTCATGTCACTGCCCTAGCAGGTATCTACAAAATGACTCCGCTTCATGCCTTGGATGTTCGGAGCCCCCATCAGCCCATTCGGCGATGTGGATTGCAGAAACCACAAGGTGCGTAACGTTTGGCACCTTGAGCATACACGCAGTGAGGACCGTGATATACATGTCCGCCCTTCCTAACGTAAACATCGTGACATTCTTCAGTAGCGCTCGCTGTGGGATTCACAGCTTGACCAGCGGCCGCCGTTGCCGTTGATGTAGAGGAACTGGCCGCCGCGCCACTTGCCAAGGAAGGAGTCGGTTTGGTAGTTGCTGAAGTGCTTGTCGTAGGAGCCGAGGACGGAGTGTTTGAAGCACGTCTGCAGCAGCAACGATCAATGAACACAGCAGTCGCGGCCGAAGATGTGCTAATCAAGATCGCTGCAAAGAGGAGAACAAGGTCAGGAAGTTGCCAAGACCATTCCTGATTAGGCTGTGCTGCCACAGGAGTGACCAATGAGGACAGAGCAATGATACAGAAGAGCCGGTTCGAAGAAGCCAAGAAGGGGATGCCAGCGAACCAGGCCGTGTTCTTCATGAGAGCATCGTCCCCTGCCAGGAGATCATCCTCACTGAGGTCGTTTGACGGAGGAAGCCTCTTCATCTCCAAGGGATGGCCAGTATTCCAGAAGTCAATACAACCGGTTGTTAGCCACTTCATCATGCAAGGCGAGACCATCACCTTCGTGAGGGAATCTGCAGTCATACATTCAGTGGGCGTGAGTATGAGCCAGCGCAACCTCCCACTGGCTCGTGCCTCTCGATGGGCAATGAGATACAAACGTTGGCTTTTGTCTTGTGGTATGGCCCTCAGGCCGGTAGACAATTCGTAAAAGTCTTTACAGTCGGTGTGGCTGTCGGCGGGAAACCACCAACAGCCGTTTTCTTGCACAGCAACAAGTTGCTGTATCGACGGCCGGATTGGCCCGTATGTTATCTCGGCCAACCTTGCACTCACTAGCGTCACACACTCAAGGCCGTTTATCGCGGCCAAAGTTTCCCCGTGGGATGTTGAGTATGACACCCTCTTCGCCTTGCTTGACTGAACGTGCAACAGCTGAGCCTTGCCAGAGAGAGTGGACCTTGCAAAGTCGTCATCCGCGACCACGTGGTTGTGGTTCGTGTTGATGAAGTCATTCATCAACACCACTAGCACACCCTCCTGAGCGTAGTTCTTGGTGGCAGTTGCTGCCGAGGCATCATGGATAACAACGATGCGATATCGTGCTTCCAGCAGTGGCCTGTAGTAGATGGCTGCATCCTTGTCACGCTTGGCACGTTCTATGAGCATGTTCACATCCTTGAGGTTCTTGACCTTGCCCTTGTTCAGCACACTCTGCAAGGAGGAAAGTTCAGCCAGCAGATCAG